AACAAATCCATCCAAGCACAGTTCGCAAGGGAGCGATCCAGCCGGGAACGGATATAGTGGTTGCAACGTTGGCCTCTCCAAGACAGAGAATTTCCTGAGTGCTTTACATCCCACAGTCCATTTTGGGACACGAAGCTGCGGAAAGGAATGAAGGATCCCTCGCTTCTCTCAGGTCCTCCTACTTTTTCGTTGTTCTCTAAGATGTCATTAAAATCCCCTGATAACAGCCAGGCAGTATCTCTATTGAACCCAAGTTGGGAAATTTCCTCCCAAAATGCTGCTCTGTGTTCTTGCTGAGGCATTCCATAGATAAGAGTAACAAAGAATACATTGTTTTTTACCTCCAGTTTTGTATCAATGTAGTTTGGGGTTGCTTTCAGAACTTCAAGAGAGAGACCTGCATTCCAAAACAGCGCTAGTCCACCACTGAGACCAACTGGTGGGACAGTGATGTGACGGTCATACCCTAGGGACTTTAGCTCCGATAAAACGAACTCATCTTGATTTTTTGTCTCGCTAAGAAAGAGTATATCCGGGGATATTGTTTTCTTCAGCTCCCGGATCCTTGGAACTGTCAAGTCTCCTCCCAAACCTTGACAGTTCCAGCAGACAAGCGCTAAGGAATCGGGTTTCGCGGAACCCGAAAATCCGCTCGACCCTTCTTAGTAGCTGGAATGAGCACCACTGGTGGTGTAATATGAGCCTGAGATCCAGGTAAATCTGCATTATCCTCTGATTCCACACAAAGTCTCTTTCGAGATGGGATAGAGGTTCTTATAGGTAACTGTTTTGATAAGCGAGTGCTTTGTCGAGGGCTTCTATTGACTTTTGCTCGGGCTGCCCTCTTGACTGGAGCTGTAGTTTTCTCAGTAACTTTCCTCTTTGCTGGGGCCTTTTTCTTTACTGGCTTTTTTGCAGTCGCTGGCTTCTTTGATTGGTTTCTATCCCCAGGTGACCCTATGCGCAGGGAAGCAGGGATCCTCTGCCCCGGACCGGAGGGTTCAGAAGGTGAGACCATAGGGGCTTTACTTCCTGAGCCTCCTGCAGATAGCCTATTACAAAGATCATCTTGGTCATAAGTGACTTCGACATCTTGTAATCTGGCTAGCAGGGAATTAGAGAGCCCTCCTGAGCGTTGAGGTTCTTCTATTCGCTCCAGCGCTGATCTTCTCTCCCGAGAATTGCTAGAGACCTCTTTTCTATCGTGAACTACCGGGGGGTACATAGGTTCCCTTGGTGGCAGAGGAGGTGGAGTCCTTGATGAGTGAGTGTATTGAGCTCTAGGACTAGAAATATGAGAGCCTCTGGAATGTCTTTGAGGGGAGCGATCCCGGTTATCTCCTCTTCTTGACTCCAAAGGGGGTCTCTGATGGTGATATCCGTGGTCACGATGATCCTCGGGTGGTCCTCGTCCGTGCTGTCGCGGCCCGTGGTTGGAGTGGTGACGAGCTTGATCATAGTTTGGACGGTTACCAGAGGATACCGGGTGACCTGTTGAAGACCGCTGTGACATAGCTTGATATCCCCTTGACAGAGAGTCAGAGGTCCTTGATTGGTTGGAGGAGGAGCGGCGATGATCATGACGCCTTCGATGCTCCTCTAAGCTTCTCAAGGTGTTTTGTTGGCTGATTTCCGCTGCTTGAGCTGGGGCTTTCGTTGTAGCCGGCTTTGAGGGGCACACATCATCCTCATGGAAGAGGGAGAAGCAATAGAAGCAATGTTTTTCCAGCTTTTCATACTCCAAGTTAACATTTAGTACATCTCCTGAAGCTAGCTGAATCGGAAGCTGCATTTCCAAATTACTGAGGCAGTCGACATCGATTCTGATTTTACATTGAGGAATATCATCATCTATCCTCGGGCCTAGAGCTTTACCTATTGTATGAAGTGTTTCGATAGTCCAATAGTGGAGAGGTAGTCCATGGACTTTAATCCAGAATGGAGTACGCTTCGGGAACGACGTTGAAATGACTGGTTCCCATTTCTGGAGAATGATCATCCAACGCTTGTAATGGTATGGAGCCCGACGCATCACTGACTGCAGAGCTTCCTCAGAATCAAATTTGACCTGGAACAGGTCGGGGCCTAGAATTCTTCCTGTAACCACTGTTTCGAGATTCCAATATTGGAGCAGCCAGTCCAAGACCCACTGCGGTTTTTGGACTGAAGGATTTGTAACTCGCCCTAGCAGCGTAAGCTTGTTATCCTCTATTAGATCTTCATTGTTACTTGGAGGAATCTGAATAGGAGCTCTTCTAGTAGTAGTAGTCGCGGTTTTGGAAGATTCTCGATCTGACCCTGCAGTCCACTTTCCTTTTTCCGATCTTGTGTACCGATTTGCCATTCTTGTTAGTTGAGATTTAGGGAGGTGACTGTAGAAGGCGGATTCTTGGTCCTCACAACAGAGGTAATCTTGAGCAAGTGAGAACTTTGATGAAGAGAACCAGACTGAGTCAGTGGAGCAGTAGTAGGTTGGTGAAGTGAACTTAACCCCTCAGCAACGAGGAAGAGGAAAACAGGAAATTTTGACTTTTGTATTTTCCAAAGATGTCTAGATCTACTCCCTTCTGGTCGCTAAAACAGCTTTCTAATACCCTCAAAAAGGTCTCCATCCAGAGGAGAAGTAGATTAGAGAAGAAAAACCCATGCCGGAAAGTAGGTACGGTGGTTAGATGACTGAAGGAGTGGCTGAACACGGCGGACCACGGCGGAGCTACTTCAAATTTTGAATAAAAGCCTTTCCTCGTTTTGCGTACCTGGGAGAAACTTTAGGGGCGCGTGCATCTTACAAAAAACTTCATATGTTTCATTTACCAATGAATTATTACAAAGATTTAACCTCACAAGAATTCAATCAGAAAAACAATAATTTATAACATCTTAACAATATTATCATATTTAATACAATTATTAGTATTTATATGTAACTATAATTTATAAATATTTTGTCAATAATAATATATTAAGAATTTTATCCTTATTTAATAAATATAAATAATAAATATATTGAATAAGTGAATGTGAAATATTAATTATTTTAAATGTAACTTTTTGTATTATTTTGTTTTTGAATAAATTTGTGATTCACTGCTATCAGATGTTAATGATAACAATGACTAATATTTCTATGTAGTTCATTTGATAAAATTATGTTTACCAATCATTAAACTTTTAAATTAGTTGCTAAAGTTTCAATGTGATTTATATTTATATATATATTCTAATATTTATATTACGTCAAGTATAAACATATATGCATTTGATATTACATAAATCGGTTCCTGGTTTCAAACATACCCAGTTTGGGGTGAACCTCCTTAAGATCTTTTTTATTTTTCACGTGTTTGTGTAAATAAACACGCAAAAAAACTCAAATGTATTTAATATAATTGTTTTTTAAATGTTAGCTTAGGACTTAGAACAAAAAAAAAATATTTAGCTTAGGACATCCGAAATATTGGAGCGGCACTGAAGACTGAGCAAAAGCATCTCTGAGATCTCCATTGAAATGCAAAGGCATAAAGCATCCCACAGGAATGAAAACAACTGAGAGAGATCAAAGGAAAACAAGAGAAGTGGGATGAGGTGTTTCCGACGCCGGAATAAAAGTGATGTTCGTTTGCTCACCTAGGTGATCCATCTAAGTGAAGATGAAAATTAATGTTTGTTTAGTGCTTTATAATACAACATTGAGATGGATCACCTAACTGCAATTTTTAAAATGCACTTCAAGTTCTCACTCAAATGAAGGTGAATTTTCACCGTGCATTTAGGTGAAGATGCATCTAGTATAGTCTATAATGATAAATGACAAAAATAACATTTTAAAACTAAAATATTCTTTTCAAAAGGAATATGTAAATATACTATTCTGTCAAAACAAAAATATATATTTCCCCGCCAAAACATTAAAAACGTATTTTTTCCACGAAAATGGTAAAAACAATTTTTTGGTCAGACGTAAAAATGTATTTTCAAGTCAAAATAGTAAAAATGTCTTTGTTCACTAAAATAGTAAAAACACATTTTCCGACAAAATGATAAAAATGCGTTTTTCCACCCAAATCAAAAAAATTATTTTCCACCAAAATGTTAAAATCGCACTTTTCCGCCAAAATAATAAAAACATATTTTCCGTCAAAACCATAAACATTTATTTTCCTACCGAAACTGTAAAAACACAGTTTCCACCAAACCCATAAAAATAAACTTTTCTGCCAAATTGTAAAACACATTTCCCCGCCAAAATAGTAAAAATGTAATTTTTTGCCAAAACAATAAAAACACATTTTTCCGTAGAAAATGCTAAAACGCATTTTTTCCACCGAACCCGCAAAAATGTATGTCCTCTAAAACCGCCAAAATGCATTTTTCGCCAAAACGGTAGAAACGATTTTTTGCGTCAAAATACATATTTTTTAAAACCATTAAAATGCACTTCCTGTCAAAATCGAAAACACATTTTTTTGTCCAAAACCATAAAAATATATTTTCCGTCAATAATATTGTATTTTGACGAAAAATGAGTTTTGCGATTGGTAGAAAGTGCATGTTTACGGTTTCGATGAAAATTTTGGCTAAAGATTTCAATTTTTTTTGTGATTTTGACGGAAAATGTATTTTTAGGATTTTGGCGAAAAGTCTGTTTTATGGTTTTGATGGAAAGTGTATTTTAACGATTTTGGCTGAAAAATGCATTTCGGTTTTGACTCTAATCCGATCCAGGATTTTGTAATATCTGAATGAGATTATTTTTTAAAGTCCGGAAAACCCGATATTCAAAAGGATAGTATCCATATTTGAAGGATATCTGAATGCCTAGACCTAAAGACACCAGTGAAATTCCAATGGGCTTTCATCTCTTTTCAGAAAGCCCAATGGCAACGGCTACAGTTTGTCAATAAAGCACACATTTCCTCTTCGCTCCGGTCATCGTTCGTTCTTAGAGTCTTTTGTCTTCGTCGTCTTCCTGCAGAATCACACACTGTCACTACAACCACGCGAAACTCTGCTACGTTTTCTCTTGTACGTCTCATATCTTCTCTAACTCTGTTTTCTTTTCCTTCCTTTCATGTAAATTTACGGTTTTTTTGTTTGTCTCTTTACACTCCTCTAAGTTTCTCTGTTCTTCCTCTCGGAACCTGAATAAAGCTTGCGTCTTTCATTTACATGGGTCGATTTTATAAAAATGGTTTTTTTTTGTTTCTTTCTGGAGAGCTCATGCTTTGCATCTAAGAGTTGCCTTTTCCTGCAATATACATACAACTTCTTGAAAAATGTTTCCTTTCTTTCTTTCTTTTAGATTTTAGGGTTTTCCTCTGTTTTCTCTGAACCTAAAGAATGCTTTTTTTTTATGTGACCTGTGTGGTGGATTTTTCTTACAATGTGTTTTGTTCATGCATTCCCACTCATGAATTTGTTACAATGTGTCTTGTAATCGGATTTTGCAGGTTCTCTATAAAGACTCCCTTTTTGCATTTGCGCTCTTGCACTTTGCTGTTGAATCCATTTGGTTAGTTTGCGATGGAGAAAAGAAGTGTTGAAGATGCGCCAGCAGTTGATATTGCTAAGAAACTAAAAACTGATTCCTCTCAGATGCTGAAGACATTACATGACCATCTCGACAAGGTCGTTGAGGAGGTTGAGCTGAAGGAAAATCAGCTTCATGTTCTGAGTTCAAAGCTGGTGGAAATCCAAAAGCAGATCGAGCAACAAACAGACAAACTTAAATCAACAGAGGTTGTAGTAAGAAACCAAAAGAATGCACTTGGTTGGATAAGGCACCAGATCAAGTCGGGAGAGGAAACACTCGTTGAGCTTAGGACATCACTGGAGAACACTGGAAACGAACTTGAGCTGAAGAAGACAGAACTGGAAAACACTGGAAACGAACTTGAGTTGAAGAAGGCAGAGCTTAAGAAGAACACAGAGTTAAGAGTAAGGAGCAGTGTGCTTGTTAAGCACGAGCTGCAGCCCATTGAAGCAGAATCTGAGTTGTCTACTGGAGATGCTCGTCTGCTTCAGAAACTCTCATCAGTTGCTCTTACTCGTCGTGAAGTATCTAATTATCTTAGAGTTATATCTAATCCAGCAAAGCTTGTTCTGGATCTTGTTGAGAGACAGCTTAGAACTGCTTATCAAAGACAAACGTTGGGCTTACAAGAGTCGGTCGTGAAGAACTTGGTCCTGTTTTTTGAGGATATTGCAGGAATTAGAGGGTCAGAAAAGTCTCAGCTGCAGTTTAGGGCCAAAGAGTTGGGAAATATATGGAAAGAGAATATAACAATCGAAGCTCCAAGATCATCTCTTGAAGCTTTGGCTTTCTTGTTATTCATTGTGGCGTTTGGATTGAAGAGATTGATCAATGAAGAAGAGACTGTGCTACTTGCCTCTTCTGTTTTTCATTACAGACAAGGACCAGAACTCTTTCAGTTCTTTGGTCTCAAACTTAAAATCCCAGGTCAGGTTCTAAAACATTTGTTAGAGATGTTGTTATAAAATGATTTGTTAAGGTCTTATTACTACTTTTATCTTTTTTGCAGAATTTGTTAGAGATCTCATAAAGGATCATCAATACATACCTGCGGTCCGGATAATATGTTTGTTCAAGCGTAAAGACTTTTCAGCCACAACTCTTTTAATGAAAGAAATCACCGACCTAAGACGCTCTGCCATGGGAAAAGTAAGACACTGATGTTTTTTTAATCTTGTTGATTGATGCTTTTTTTTTTGGTTACTAATTTAGACATTGCCAATAACATGTTTCTAGGTTCAAAATAAAGATGTTGGAAGATTGAGAGCCATCGTTGAACTTGTAGCAGATTATAAGCTGGACATTGATCTTCCAGGGGAACTTATCGCCAAGCTCATGTTACTAAGAGAAAACTCAACACCACCTGAGCTTCACTGCTCTGTTGAAGTAGATGAAGAAACTTGCAGCTCCTCGTCAAATTCAAAAGCTGCATGTTCAGGTGTGGATCTTTTGGTCCCTAAACGTGAAACTAATCCCTTCGTGAACCCATCAACCAATTGTAGTTAATGTCAGATACTCGGAATGTGTAAAAAGGCTAGTAGGCACAAAATAATGTAGTAGCTTTTGCTAGATCTTTAGACCCATCAAAGGGGAATCGATTCATTAGCATCGTTATTTATTTGGTAAAAACTTGTTGCACTTTGGTTATCGTTAGATATCTATGCTTAGCACATTACAGTCTCTGTCTTTCCGTTGTATAATACTCCTTCCGTTTCTTTTTATAAGATATTTTAGAAAGTTTATGTTGTTTCAAAATATAAGATGTTTTGAGATATGTTTCGAAGTTTTAAGGTTAACTTTAACTTTATTGGAAACTGTTCAACCAATAAAAAATGTCAGTATTCTTTTATAATTGGTTGAATGATTTTAAAAGTATATCACAAAAAATACTTTTAAAAGGTAGGTAAATATCTTAATCTACCTGCAATCAACCAAAACATAAAAAGAAATGGAGGGAGTAGTAAAAGGTACTTGGCAGTTACAATTCCCTTATATGTCCATAAAAAAAAAAAAATCCTACATAGCTATTATATATAAAATAATAAATCATAATAAACTTTCTTTTTCTTCTAAGAAAAAGTAGTTGTGAGAATAGAGAAAGGTAGTGATCGTAGATGAAACAAGTATGAAGGTTCCATGTTGAATATCACCACAAGACGACAATTACCAAGTATTTCCATGGGAAATTGGACTGTATAGCATGAAAAAAAAGTATAATTCACCAACTAACCAATTTCCCTAGCTTTCCTATACATACTGTTATATTTGTATAATAATACTATATTGACCTTCTTTTTCACCTGTACAACCTGTAAAGAAAAAAAAACCAGTTAATAATTATTGATTATGAAACATATAACGTGGCTTTTTGTTGCTCACACACAATCATAAAATAAAATTTTCAAGATTGTGGTGGGATTATGGATAACTAGAGTTTCATGTTCCATTCCATTTGACGGACTTTTGTTTAGTAATTAAAGTCCATAACATTTTAAATGACAATTTATGGGTTTATATTTCCCTAACTTATGTTTAGTGATTAGGGTTTATATTTTTCTACCTTTTGTTTAGTGATGTAAACAAAAGAAAGGGGTTAATCGCCAATGGATTGGGGTTTATATTTTCCTAATTTTTGTTTAGTGATTAGCATCCATAACATTTTAAACATTTCATAATTTCAATCATAAATATTTCATAATTTCACAAATATGTACTATGTTATTTTTTTTTTGTTCTATTCTATTTGGATTTAGAGTTTATGTTTGGATTTAGGGTTTATACTTAGGTTTAGGGTTTAATATTTAGGGGTTGTCATCGGATTAAGGATAAGTAGAGTTGAGATATATTTAATATTTAAAAGTTATAGATGAAGTTATAATCTTATAATATTTCGGTGATATGGAATAGAATACTCGGTGATATAGAATAAAATATTCGATGCTATGTATGTGGTTAATAAATAGATACGTGGATGACTTCATCAAAGGTAAGACGTTACCTATTTTTCCAATTACAACTGAAAACCTATTAAGTGAGAGGGCAGAACCGGATAAAATGAGGCACAAATGTCTGACATTTAATTATGTCAACATCAATGCTACTCACTTAATTTATCTCCCAAATATGGCTATTATACCAATTAGCCCTATTTCCATTTGTCATTGTTATAGTTGACAGTGAAAACAACAAGGCATGGGAATGGTTTTTCCGTTATCTGTTGAAGTTTGTGCCTAACAGTCAAGACCTGTGTTTGTATCACACCGCCACGCCTCAACATACTATACAATTGTAAATGTATGACCTAAATTATCTGGTTAAGTATCTTAGTACATCTTTAATCAGTCTTTATCTATTTAAACCGGATTAACGTATCATGCTATGTAGGTTTACCCTTTTGCAAACCACTGTGCTTATGTGTTGCATCCGAAGAGAAACATTAGGACTTATTTCAAGGACAAGTGTCTTGGTTATATGGTAGACAAAACTGCTAGAAATTTTGTACTATCAGAGTTCAATCATGTTTTTAACGAGATAACGAGATAAAGAGCCTCAATATTTGACTTCATAAACTAAAATGAAAATGGTGTTTATAAACTATTTTAACAACATCAAATAAAATATACAATACATAATTATTTACTTAAAGAATTATTCAAAATTAATTAATCATTTAGAATAATATTTATTTGACTATTTTTGTTTCCACATAAATTTGAACAAATGGTTAAAAACTAGGGGGCGATTTATGTGAATACATATTTTTAATCAATACTTTTTACCCATAGTATACGAATATTCATTTACCATTTACTTCTCCGAGTGAAAATTTAGGATAATACAAACTTGCTACACTGGAAAACTATTGTAAATCAAATTGTAAAATATTAATAGTACTTTTAGAAAAAGTTAATAATAAGATTTTTAATATTTTTATTTTTATTTTAGAAATAACGAATGAAAATATGATACCAATAAGGTATTAGAGATTTCCCAGTCAAACAAATTTAATTATTGACAAAAAGGGGTCAACGAAAAATTGTATGAGAATCATCTTAGAGAGAATTCATTGATTAGTGTAAGTCAAAATAATTCACAAGGCAAAAAAAGTTTATTATAACATGAAATAGAATATCAATGTTTTGATTTGAGTTCAAAAATAATGGAAAACATAAATGGTATTTTTATGTTACCATTAGCTCATCTCTTATACCATATAGAGGCTTTTCAGTTTTCATTGACTCGCAGTTAGGAAATGTATACTTGTTATATATATATTGTTAGTATTTCAAAGATTATCAATTATTTTGTTAGAAATTAAAGAGAGAAAAAACACAAAATGAAAAACAGATGTCCAATTCTTGGTCCTCAATGTGATTTTTGTGAGTGCACAGGTAGTGGATGTCAGTCTCAATTCCCAAGTAATATTCATGAGCCTTTTATATCATTTTTACTCATGATAATCTACTAACCAATGTAATACTTCGTAACAAAATAAATTTAGTTAGCTTCATTTGGAGCAATGGGTTTAATTTATACAATTTTAGCAGACAAAATTAACTTTACATAACATTACAATAACAGTAGTAGTCACAAATTAATATTTTTATATGTTACTGTCACATAGATAATAGATTTCGAAAGTATTGTCATATATGAAACTAAAGTAAGAATAAATAAGAAATGTTATGTTCTGTTCTTATTTATTTTAATCTACTCAAATTTAATAAAAAGTCTTATATTTTTCACTTTTTTAATCTCATTAAATAATAATATTTTACCCTCTACACATCTTTGTTTATCTTCCAAATGTGTAATTTTATACGATTTAGGTTATAATGTACCAATATTTTTAGAGCAGTCGCTCTAATCATTCATAATATAGATTTATAACTAAACGTGATGATTTATTAAATAATCACATATATCTTATAAAAAATAATTAAAGAAAAAGGTGGTCATTTGATCTAAACTAAGAAAAATAAATTTGTGATCTAGTGCNAAAATTAATAATTTGTAGTTTGTGTGTATAGGACTGAAAGTGGAGTGGCCAGAGCTAAATGGAGTAAGTGGAGTCGAAGCGAAGAGAAAGATTGAAAGGGACAATCCCCACGTGACTGCTTTTATATATCCTCAAAATGTCTATCTACCAGCCATCAATTGTTGTAACCGTGTTATCCTCAAAGTTCCAAGCAACAATTGCCCCAACGGACCGGTCCTCAATCGTCCTAAGGTCGGATGATCTACTATATGATATTGTTCCGTTTTAATAATGCAGATTTATAATGAGCTTCAATAAGGTTTAAACTGTTTCTTGTTTTGAACTGATTTCTTGAATAAAATAGAAATATAAAAGCTATTTCTGTTATATAATCTCATGTCCCTAAGTTAATTTATTTTTCATACCGAACTAGACTGATAACAATAAATAAGTCAAAACAAGAAACAATTTAAACCAAGTGAACAATACCAAATATACAGTCGCGAAGCACGTTTTAGCCTCGAACAATGTCCATTAGATTGATAACAATAAGCAATGATGTGTTGTTTTCAGTGTAAAAACTTCATCAGCATGGCCTAAGACTAGTTTTTAGTTAAAATTTCTTGAGACAAGCTCGGTTGCAGCAGTAGCTACTAACACTCCAGCCAAAAATTACTAGCTCTACTAAAGTTACTTCTTGACAAAAAAGACTTTGTTCCACAACAATAGATGTGGCTGTGACACGATGTGTCAGTAGTAACTCATGTATTGTAAAAAGGTAAACATAAAATAACTTAGAAATGATTTTGGAGCTACATCCAAATATTAATTGCAAATAATACAATCTCCACTTGATTAGTGGATGCGTAGTGTTGAAATAGAAACTTTGCAGTGAAGATGTTTGATGAAGTGATAAGAGAAGCTTGGTTTTTCGGTAAGCGACATAGAGATGTAGCATAAATGTTTCAAGGTTTTTAAAATTGATCGAACATTTACGTTTGTAAACACAGCCTATGCGTATGATGAAAAGTTCAAAATGTTTTTGATGATAAGAATTTCGGGTCGTTTTTTAAATTACATGAAACACGGTGTTTCGATTTACCGGATTTCCATTAAGAAAATACAATTTCGATAACGGAAAATTAACGACATTAACGGTTTAATAGTTGGAGGTTTAAAAACATAAAATTTTAGTCGGAGGTTTTTCATGCGATTTGAAAATAGTTGGAGGTTTAAATCACCAAAAACCCTTTATTTAACTTACAACTCTTAAAGTACATATTTTTAAAGAGCAAACTGAGACTACATTTTATAATATTACATCCATTGTACCCACATCCTTTAATTTTTTTTCGTTCATATACTAATATATCTAAGATATTATGTATTAACGATAGTATGTTCAGTGAATCATCGGTTGGATATGCATTTTTTCAAAAGAAATTGTAACAAAACAAAGAGTTATATTGGATATGTATATGTGAATAAGTTTGACTTCATAAAATAAAATAAAATTTGTGTTTATAAACTATTCTTACCACATCAGATTAAATGTACAATATATAGTTTTTTATTTACAGAATTGTTCAAAGTTGTCCAATCTAAATAGTCACAGATTAATATTTTTATATGTGAATGTGACATAGATAATAGATTTCTAAAGTATTGTCATATATGAAACTAAGGTAAGAATAAATAAGAAATGTTATTTTCTGTTCTTATTTATTT